ACATCTCCTTGTGGGTTGTTTTCACTGCCTGTCATCTCAACATTTGAATTTTGGAATGCATTCTAGGTTTCAGCATGGTAGCATGATAAATTGAAGAAGATGAGCGAATGGCATATATAATTAAGCACATTATAGAGAAGTAGGCATAAAGTAATAATCTATATCCCAAAGAATGAACATCTTACTAGATTATGGTCCAGCAGAAACCTCCTCCTGATACTGTATGTGTTGCTGTAGTTACACTGAAAGGCATTTTTCAGGACAGCAGTGACTTAAGACAAGTGAATGACAAGCTAATCTTGTTCTAAATAAAACATGAATTGAGAATAATGAAGATTGATGTAACATGTTCTCAAAGAAAAAGGAGGAGAAAACTGAACAGATGGAAAATGGGTTGGGGAAAAAAAAGCCCACGACCCGTTGTCAAAATCATTCTTCCTGCTATGGCTCAAAGACTTCAAAGCACAACACCCTCTGAGAATGGCTGACAGTTCAAATGGGGCAGAGAGTTAGAGACAGAGATAATGGGTTGATCCCTCTCATGGTGGTAGTTCTCCAAAACACAGGTTATTCAGATGGCATTCCAGGGAAAAGCTAAGGTTCATTAGAATCCTGAAAAGGGCATAATAAGCTTCCTCAAACAGCTAGTTCACCAGGAGTCATTTCCCCCCACCCCCTGAAATCCCAAATTTCAGAGGATATTGGAGGTGCTTAAGCACACTTGCGGTCCATGCAACACAGTGGTGAAGCTCCACAAAGTGGTCACTATCCTGCAGTAGCTGTGACTGAACTTAAAAGCCCAAAATCTAACAACCCAAGGTCATCTCCGTGGGTCTCCACACTATAGCGCATGGATGGGCAATCTGCAGCCCATGAGTCACAACAGGCCTTAGAGGCCTTCAGGATGGCACGTGGGAGACAGGCGTTCCCTTGTGGACATTCGTTTTTACATCTTCACTTCATTAAATGTGATATCCTGTGTCTTCACTGTTAATAGCTGCCTTGAGGATTCGGCTTAGTGGAAAATAAATAGTCTGTAATTCTCAAATTCCCAGCAGTCCAGTGATCAGGAGTGTGGTTGGTTGAAGGGAAATATTATTAGTATCTGAGGTCGTGAGGGGAAGATGTCAAATATGCATGTGATCCTTTTGTGATCTGGAATCCGATGTGGTCGCCTGGGCCAAGGAGGTTTGTCCATCTGAATTACAGTACAGGGATAAACTATTTGTGACACTCTCCAAAATATACAATTCCTTCTCTGAGAGATCAGTTTAAATGTTTAGTCCAGTGGTTCCCAACCTTGACACCTTTAAGATGTGTGGACTTCAACTCCCAGAATTCCCCAGCAGCCAACGTTGGGGATTTTTGGAGGTGAAGGGCTCACA